GAAGCAATCAAAACATAGATACCAGGACAAAATAGAGCATACTAAAAATAAAATATTTGCCGAGTTTCGGAGTATTCGAATTAATAATAACAGATTTGCAAGCGTTCAAATCTCGAAGAAAATACAAAGAATGTATGAAGCCTATGAAGCTCTTGAGCAGCGTCTCTAAAATCCATACATTCTCTCTTTTTTTTACAAAATTGAAAAAGTGCTTTCTCGGTGGGTAATCCAACTAGATAGTACGAAACTTGACAAAACATAGTGTGGTCTTTCATTGAATTTTCGATAAGTCGAACGAAAGTGGACTATTTTCATACTCGTTTCCAGACCCTTTCCAGTCTACTCTTTAATTTCGGAATGGCCAATTCGCGCGCGTCGGCTTGTCGTTACTGCTACCTACATATGTCCTGTAAATTAAATGTAAATACCTCAATTGGATTGAATTTACAGGGGTAATTTAGACGCACACAGAGCGTTTTCAGTTTACAGCGTATTTACGCAATGTAATTTGCTGGACTCCATCACGAAGTATACAATTATTCAGCAATAAACGGGTTTTTCAATACATGTGGTCCGTTTAATGGTGAATTTTTGGACTAATAAACTAATTATAATTGAACATGATTCTAATCTTTTCATCGAACTTGCTTTTCCCCTGCACGATTCCATCATCCCAGGCCAACTGTTTTGTTTTATAAATCAAGTCAATCTCAAAAGGACATACCGTAAGCACTTCTCGCCATCTTTTTTTTTTGAATACATTGCTCACATGCGACCTTTTTGGGTTTTTAACAAAATGCTCTATAATCATTATGAGTTTCAAATACACCAAGAAACCATCAATATTAAATGCACACATTCAAACCTAAAGCCTTCGCCGTCCATCCGTGGATATTTTTAAATATCGTTTGCGAATTTGACCGTCTACATTGCGATTCAAATTTGAATCCGGATATAAGTTTGGACGGGACGGCTTAGGTACGTATGGTCAACATGAAAAAAGTCCTAAACAAAATGAAGAAAAACACTCACAAATTGAAAGGCAAAGCTAAGCCATTTATTGTCTCTAAGACTAATTATTATAAGACTTTTTTCGTTTAAAATTGTGATACATAATGATAAATTATACAAGGAAACTTAGAGGCGTCGCTCCTTTTTTTGGCTGAACTTCGACGAACATCATCGACAAAAGATTACTTCTGGGTTCCTGAGGAATGTCAACGAAGGAACAAGGACCGAAACCTTGGTAAGTTGTTTTTTTTYCCGGTGTTTGATTTACCGTTATTCATCACAAGAAACAAGTGCAAGTGCATCCGAGAACCGTCGCGCGATTTTCTCAAATGCCAAAGGTCAACATCTATGGTCTTTGAATCAATCAGAAAGCAACTTTCAACAATAGACATTTGCAGMAAACGACCGCAAAGGTTTTCGGATGCTAGTGAACCTTTAATAAAGCTTRTATTTGTATTGGTCACATGATTCTAAAACAAAATGTTTATCAAGAACCACACTTTAAAAACATTGAAAACTTTCGACTAAATATTGATTYATATCATCATCACTTGAAAAACACGATTGAATATCATGGATAAATACTTAAAAAAGTCARATATCTCGAATTAGCGTTTATTGACGTTCTGAGTCAATTTCTGTAATTTATGAAATCTCGTCAAAAATGATAAATAAATATCCATTGTTCATAATAATAAAAATTACACCCATRACAATGGTAATGACCGACTTGAAAATTTTGCTCCGTGCATTAACTTCTGCCATTCGAGAAAAGACAAAAGTTGTTTTTCACGATTGAGGGAGCTTCATGAACGGTGCCTCGTCTTGATTTTTTTGTGTTTGACAATCGAGGCGAAATTCGCAAATCGGCTATTGGTGTATTACACAAGCCCGACTTGGGAACTCTTCTTAAAAGAAAGAAGCAATTAGACAAGATTGTTCTATTGCCTAGTACTCCTCTTTTTGAAATAGCACAGGTAATCCAATACACGTTTTGTCAGATAAAAATGAAGTTCTTGTCAATAGATGAGTTTGCTACTGTTTCATCAAAGCTTTGATCTCATTACATAGCTCATCAATGTCTTCTGATTGGCCAACATATTGATTGACATCTATCCCTAAAGCTTGTGCYAGACCAGACACCTATAATAGAAAATGAGCAGAATATTTACAATATTTAATAATAATTTTCTTAACTGACACTCGTTAAATTTTTCTCTTGTTTCTTTGCTTATCAATAATTCACTTTCTTTTGTTCTTTTCTTTGTCATTATTTCGTTCACATTTTCATTCATTCATTTATCCATTTTTTCMTTRATACATTCGTCTGATTAAGACACCAATTCCTACATCCATCCCATTTCTTTATTAGTTCATTCATCCATCTATTCCCTCATTTTATTCTTGAAAGAGATGACTACTTCCTACTCCTCACCTCYGAGCTGCATTTCATGAATTGGCAAAAGGAGAACAGAAGATTATAAACTGAGAAAGAAAAACAATCAAATATTAGAGCTTAGAATGTGAGGACAATGAGTTGTATCCAGGGCCGTAACTAGTAAGAGGCCAACCGAGGCACTCGCCTCGGTAAAATTTTGCCGATGCTTTTTGTTCTTCATCACTAATATTATCTTAGCCTCTCAGAGCCGATTTCGYACGACTGATTYTGTGCAAAAAAATATAAAAATAATGTTATTTTTGTACGTAATTTTGTACGTGTAGCTTCTTTGTTTCATAAATACTTATGATGAATTCCAATTAAATCTGTTCAATAAAGAGTTACCAAAAGGCCCACAAAACGCTGCAACTTGCATTTCCGAGAGACTGAATTTCAAATTTTCTAGGGGGAGAATGCCCCCGGACCCCCCTAGTTTTTCCCGCCATCGGCGGTCGCGCTTGCCTCGGTTGTCCATTCACTCTGGCTAYGGCCCTGGTATCCTTCACTTACTTGTGTCTGTATCAATTTTTCTATTTGTCACTTCAAGAACTGCTGTAGCATATTCAAGAGCAATATCCTCAGGAACCTAGTACCAAGATAAAGATTGAATGAATAATTCAAATCATCAAAATGAAAAGRAAAAACAAAATGAAAGAAAGATTGGAAGAAGCAGAAATTTTTGGAAGAGAGAAAATCAAGGAAAAGGAATGAGGGAATGAATATAAGCAGAAGTTAAAGAGATAGTTAAAAAGGCAGAAGAAAACAAGATGAATGGAAGGGAGGGACTGAAGAAAGGGGGGGGGGGGGGGGATAAGTCCAGGATTGATGAAGGGATGTATAGTTAAGTCTCCTGATGGCTGAAACATCAACTTAAACAAATTGGCAATTMTTTACTTGATATTGCTGTCAAAGTTACCGTATATCTTGCAACATTGAATGCCAACTCTGATGCAGCTTTGCAGATGCTCTCTTGATCCTCTTGCAAAAGACAAGTTACRACRACTGAAGTYAGGTTTGTCYGAGTCTTGCTCTTTACAAGTACCTCATGCCCAGTCTTAGTGCTTATGAAATTACACAGCTGTTCAATAAAGAATATTATTTAGTAAGATTAAAAATAATGATGTTAAAACATTTTAAAAGGTATGCTGTTTGYGCTTTATTGYCATGAGACTTACTACTTGTATTGAGGCAACAGAACTGCTTGCWTCTTGTGTGGAAACACATTCTAAGAGATTGTTTATCACAGAGMTAACAACATCTAAAMCTAAAAATTAGAGAAATTCAGYTTGTTATATAGTTTTCAGGCATACATGCTCATTTTACTCCAACAAAAAGAATATGGAAGGAAGTGTCGATCCTTTGAAAGTGCATTTATCATTTGATTTATGGTCAACCTACCTTTTGAATGGTTGACAAAAGTMTTTTCTAATGTCAGAGCTTTCAGTAACTCAAGTACATTTATTTTAGTGTCTTTTTCACTAAGCTCCTGGAAAATGCTCTCTACAAGAAAGATATTAACTTTTGTTACACCATATAACTTTGCAACATCTCCCTTGATACTCTGATGAAAGTGCAATAAATACTCTCTTTTGAAGTTCCTCATGCTATCATTTTGCACTAAAGTGAGACAGTAGCTTGGATTGCAGTGATAGATACTTGTGATTGTGGTTTGAAAAAGGTATAATTACCCCTACAAACTCAACCACAATGTGTCTCTTCAAAGGCATGAACACTTTCACAATGAGAAAGGAAACTTTAAAACAGAGTATTTTATTAAAAAAAATATATACATGTATATGATATTCTTGAGTGAAAAAAATAGCGAGTTTAATCCAAGTATTGAAAATCAAAGCTTTAATCCAGTTGCATCGTAATGAATTTACTTGCCTATACAAAGCATATAGTTGTCTGTAATGGTAATACTTTTTCCTTTCATTAACAATTTCTCCATATCACCAAGCACCACAACATAACGTCTTTCATCTTTACATCCCTTAAAAACCTCTTTAATAATYTTGATGTCTTGTTGAACATCTTTTGCTTGGAAGTATACAGGAGAAGAMRTTGTTGGTTGATTGGTAGATGGCTCACTGGTTGCAGAGTTATTGCTTTCCCTGGGTTCAAAGATGGACTCAGGGTTTGTTGTGCTTGACGATCCTGCAGAAGAGCTTCCTGTGCCATGGTTTTTTGCTTGAGAYGAGCCTTGTGTTGCACTACTGTTGACAGATGAACCTCCACCAGGAGTCACAGTCATGGATTCAATGATTGGCTTAATCATTTGTCCAAATGCACTTGAAAACAGAATATCAAATTACAATGTAAAACGTGACATTCTAGTAAATCCTTAGTATTTACAATTTGCACAGCAAGTCGTGCCCTAGTTAATGCTAGTGTCCTTTGCAGCCTTTTTCTCACAGGAAGCCCGACAAAATGGTAGGCTGTGAAGGCAAGTAGGTTAAAGCATGCTGACACAGTTTTACTTTTAAAATAATGTTATTTATACCACAAAAGATGTTGGATTAATTTATGATAAGCAATTGTATTATTGTAATACCTGTTGGCAATTTCATGAGGTAAATTACGTATTTGTTTAGGAATCTTCTTGCCAGTAAGAAACAAGGTGACTTCATTTGAAAATTTGTTACAGTTGTGGTCAAATAGATGGTATTTGTCAGCTCTGCAATGAAACATTATATSAATTAAATTTAAATCTTAAGAAAATTACAATTTTAAGATTTATAGTAAGATAGCTTAATGTAGCTGAATAAAAAACTGTTTTTGTTTAGCTGCATGGGCATTAAGTCAAAAAAGCCACAATTTGCTAAGAGACCATACAAGACAGCTATAGTTGTAATATTGTACAGATTATAAATATTCAGTTGCTATATGTTTTATTCTTGACAGCAACAACTATTAGTCAGAAGTACCTGAATGATTCAGCATTAAGTCCTCTAATGAATTCAGTGAACACTTCTTCTGGTATTTGTGTTTCTCCAAGGTCAATGATATTATCAGGTTCGCCAAGGATTGTACCACCCTGCATTATGAATGATTTATTGACCAAAAACACATTACAATGTAACTGTCTGAATGATTAAAAGGATRGATTTATAAAGGACGGAAATAATTTTTAGTCAACTATTAAGTTACAAAACACAYAGACTGATTGACAGGTGTCATTCAAGATTGACAGTTGTAATTGATTGACAGATTACATCATTCAAAGCTACATTCATTAATTGCTTTAAAAATGAAGCACTTCCATACCGGTAAGCAATACTCTATCCCWCCACCTCCAAAGTAGAATTCTTTTCCAAAACAAACGACTCCAGTATGCCTATTCAAGATCATATTAGAAGTAAGATTTTAAATTATGTTGTCTGTTCAAGCTAATAATTTTTCAAATCAATCTGTGTCAACATGAACTTACCATATGCCTTCGATCTGCTTTCCTGAAATGACGCAAAACGAAATCAAAATTTCATGAATATTTCATTTTCATATCGATAAAATATTATTCCTTGCTTACAGGTATTCTCGTTTTGATCTTCTGTGGGAAATTTCCATTTAATTTCCATTAAAGCTTTAAATATCAGTGAGGAGGTCAAATTCCTTTGAATATCATTGAAAATACAATATTTTAAATACCTACCAAGAAGCAATGGTGACATCTGTCGAGCCAGACCGTTGGATAACTCATAAATATACAATTTTACAGAATTGGCTGCCATGATTTCAAATATTTTAAGATTAAATAACTTGTTTTGATGAAAAGGCTATTGAATTGTAATATGGATGTGATCCATGCGAAAAAAAGCGATCGAAATCAGCTCGATAATGTTGACACCATCACTGGACTTTTGTGTTGAGTCATGATGACCCAGGCGTTCTTTGCAGGGACGTCGGAGCCGGGGGGGCTAGGGGGGCTATAGCCCCCCCACATTTTAGGCTTACAAAAATCCTTGATAAACAAATTTTACACCGTTGGTTGAATCTGACAAAATTGGTTCGTAATCTCACCGTCTATTGAATTTCCATTATTACGAGCGTGATACCGATACATGATACCGTTGTAATCGCATAGAAATAAATAAATGTTCTCAGCCTCCTCTTTTTATAAAAATTGTTCGAGTTTGACAACAGGAAAACAAGAAAAAAGCAGAGCAAATT